AGAAGCCTGTTTTAAGCAATAAACAAGGGCATACATGTGCAAACACATAGAATTCACACAATAAATGGGAGCCGTTATTCTTCTCTTCGTTGTTCCTGCTGTCATGACCTGTCTGTGAGTTACTGTTCCTACTGATGTAGTGTTATGATCATGATATTGAAGACACTTGCAGGCCTCTGCCTAACTCCACCACAAATCTCATGTCATGCATCAAGTTATGATATAGAATCACTAAACTGCATTCAACCCAGAAGAAAAATAATTAGGTTAGGAAGGGATTCAAAAGAGCAATTAGGTCATTTACAGAACTGCTGATAAAATTCAATCTAAAAAAGCAGTTCTCTTAAGAAGTGATTAGAGCATCCAAACTACTAAATACCCTGAAAAGATTCAATGGCTATACCCTGCGTGTCCTTCCTACAAAAAAAAAAAAAAAAAAGCATTTCCAATTAAAATGCAATAATGTACTCAAAGTAGCAATTATGCCACTTATATCTTTTAATTTTAAGATATGCATGTTATGTATGTGCACCTCTGCAGGTTTTCTGTAACACTGTCTCTCACAAGGTCCTGAAACTGCTTAAAAATCTTACCTGACATTCTTCTGAACCACTTGGGCTTCTTGTCCCATATGATAAAGAGATAGTATGCAGGCACCCCAGTCAGAGTGATGACAAAGCCAATCCCTGTACTAAATGGGTCCGAGTAAAGAGACAGGGCCACCATGAAGAGACAAGTGAAGGAAAACAAAGCTGGGATGAACAGTGGTACCTGGAACATGGAACAGAAAAAAAAAAAATCATTTTAAATGTACTTCAAGAGACAGAAGGTGGTTTCAAGATGAGCATGTCAGTCATGTGATATGCTTTAGTCACATGACCAGGTGACAGGCACCAAAGTACTTTTAGTAGCAAAATCTCTTTCATGGGGCACAGAGAGTGCCCCATTTAAACATACTTCCTTAAATTTAATTCAATTTAATTTAAATTGTTTTAAAATCTTTGTATAGAACAAAATCTAAGCACAAAAAGGGAGGAGAGGATGGGTATATTCATACCTAATGGGTGCAGTGTGCACCGTCTGGGGGATGGACACACTTGTAGCTCTGACTCAGGCGGGGCAAAGGCAGTCTGTGTAACCTAAACATTTGTACCCCCGTAATATGCTGAAATTTGAAAAAAGGCTATTTCATAAGAGATGTTCTGTTGGAATTATTTTACTAGTTAAAAAATGTTATGATTTATGTTTTCGATTTTAAAAGATTGGCTCTTTGATCATTATGATTAGAATCCACTTTAACATGGAGTCCAGAGCACTGGCTG